CGACCGTACTTCGTACCGCTCCTTCAGCAGGTTCTTGGGCAGGCTCCTCCTCCTTGTCCTCCTCCCTCCGTAGAGTGTCCCCCGCCTGTCCAGCCGCAGTCACAGTTACCGCCTACCTCGCCTCTCCCTGCTCCCTCTCCTTACACTGGTCCCACAGGAGGTCTTACAGAGCGTCGTGAGCCTGAGTCTCGTCCTGCGTCGCCTGTTCGTCCTGCTCGCACTGCTAGTCGTGTCCGTCGTGAGCGTCCTCCTCCTGTCCCAGGCACTCACTACATGACTCTGCGTCCCTCTACTGCTCCTCAGCGTGTCCCTCTACCGTCTCCTCCTGCGTCCTCTTTGCCTGACGTTCCGGACCCTGAGTCTGACCGGTATCGTGCTGAGCACCCTACTGTCACGCGTCTCCTCGCTACTGTTGTCACTGACCCTACCTTTGAGTCCTCGGCTGCGTCTGCTCTGGTCGCTGAGTTGGTTGACTTTGCTGCTGCTTGTCGTCTAGACTACGCTGCTAGCCTTGTTGCTGAGTCTGAGTCTGAGTCTGTTTGTCCTCCGTCCGTCGGGGGTGAGTGTGCTCTTGGCACGGACGTCCTTGAGGACAGACAGGAGGAGTTCCAGTGTCTTGCTGCTGCTTTGCCCCGTCTCGTGTCCTTGCTAGTTGCCCCTGAGGGAGACCCGGATGCACCAGACATCCCGACCCCGCGCACTTACGCTGAGGCGATGGCGGGTCCCTACTCCTCTCAGTGGCAGACAGCCATGGACGCCGAGATGGCTTCCTGGAAGTCCACACGCACCTACGTCGACGAGGTTCCCCCTCCTGGGGCGAACATCGTCAATGGCATGTGGATTTTCAGGGTGAAGCGGCCGCCGGGTTCTCCGCCAGTCTTCAAGGCGCGTTACGTGGCTCGAGGCTTCAGTCAGCGAGAGGGAGTTGACTTCTTCCAGACCTTCTCCCCCACCCCGAAGATGACTACTCTTCGGGTGCTGCTGCACATAGCCGCTCACCGCGACTACGAGCTTCACTCACTTGACTTCAGCACTGCTTTCTTGCAGGGCAGCCTGCACGAGGAGATCTGGCTGCGCCGCCCACCTGGCTTCACTGGGTCGTTTCCTCCTGGTACCCAGTGGAGGCTTCAGCGGCCGGTCTACGGTCTCCGCCAGGCTCCGCGTGAGTGGCACGACACACTGAGGACTACACTTGCGGCTCTTGGGTTCGCGCCTTCTACAGCTGACCCGTCGCTGTTCCTGCGCACCGACACTTCGCTGCCGCCGTTCTACATCCTCGTGTACGTCGACGACTTGGTCTTTGCCACTGCTGACACTGCCGGACTCGCCTACGTGAAGTCGGAGCTGCAGAGGAGACACACGTGCACAGACCTGGGTGAGCTGACAAGCTATCTTGGCTTGCGGATCACCCGGGACAGAGCACGGCGCACCATCACCCTGACTCAGTCACACATGGTGCAGCAGGTTCTCCAGCGCTTCCGCTTCACGTACTCCTCGCCTCAGTCCACTCCTCTGCCTACCGGTCACTCGCTCTCAGCTCTGCCTTCGGATGAGTCCGTAGAGCCGAGTGGCCCGTATCCAGAGCTTGTGGGCTGCCTCATGTACCTGATGACCTGCACTCGACCTGACCTTGCATACCCTCTTAGCATCCTTGCACGCTATGTCGCTCCTGGCCATCACAGGAAGGAGCACATGGATGCCGCTAAGAGGGTGTTGCGCTACTTGTGCAGTACGTCGGGCATGGGGCTTGTGCTTGGAGGGCGAGACCGAGTTGTTCTCACAGGGCACTCAGACGCTTCTTGGGCAGACGACCAGGCCACTCAGCGGTCATCTCAGGGTTACACCTTCAGCCTTGGCTCTGGCTCAGTTTCTTGGCGCTCTACACGCTCTTCTTCTGTTCTCGGCTCCAGTTGCGAGGCTGAGATCTACGCTACAGCCATGGCTGCCCAGGAGCTACGCTGGCTGACCTACCTGCTGACCGACCTCGGAGAGCCGCCTCGTTCTCCTCCAGTACTGTACGTCGACAACAAGGCTGCCATTGCCTTGTGTGAGGAGCACAGACTGGAGCACAGAACGAAGCACATTGCCCTGCGGTACTTCCTTGCTCGTGAGCTGCAGCAGCGCGGTCAGCTTTGTATTCGCTACGTGGCCACTGAGGCCAACACTGCTGATGTGTTCACCAAGGCGCTTCAGCCTCGTGACCATCAGCGCTTCTGCACTCTACTAGGCCTTGTGCCTACTGGACCTCACTTACTTACCTCTTGACTTTGCTTGTACTGTGATCACTATATATATCTATACCTGCATGTTTACTCTTGCTAGGTTGTGATCACTGTACCTCTTGCTCTATTATAAACCTGCATGTGAACTGGTCTTGTGACTACTAGCTTGTGCTCGGAATGTGTGTGGAATCCTTGAGATCCACCCTGAGCTTGTTGTTGCCTTGCTTTGCCTTGACTGGTCTTGTGACCCCTAGGTCTCCCCCACTTTGCCTATGGGGGTGTGTCAAACATTATACATGTTGTATTTGTGTAGGCTGTAGTGGGTTAGCCTATAGGGGGGTCACAGCATTAGGGTTTCATATTTGTACTCACAATCCTTGCTAGTTCATCATTCCAGTCCGTTATTTCTGACAAAAGGCGTAATTCGTCGTCTCTATTATCCGCCATGGCTTGAGAGTACTAAAAGGTGAATTCAGTCGTGGATGAAAGCAAACACTAACGTACGCTAGTGTTTCTGATACATTCGGTAGTAAAGTTAATGAAACTCGTGTATTTTCAGTAACTATTCATTAGGTTACGATTAAGGGACGCCATGGCATGGAGGAATGGCGTGGGTGGAGTGACAGAAACATGAGGCAGTAGGCAGGGATGCTGGTGGGGTATTTGAGTTGAGCCCAAGTTCGTACTTCGAGTCTGACTTCATTCCTTTTCTAAATTGGAGGGGACAATGAAGTGGTGAGGAGGGGCGAAGATTGGTTTGGAGGGAGAGTTGGGTTTGAAAGACAAGTCAAATTGAAGCTAAGGGGATGTTGTAGAGAGAGAGGGAGCGAAAAATAAGGGAGGGGTAGGCTGGGGGGAGGAGGTGGCTTGTGGGCTGGGCTGTTGCTGAAACGAATGCGCGGATCTGGTTGGCGGGAACGAGGGGGAGGGAAACGGAAAAGGGATTTTCTGGGGAGGGGGAGGGAAGAGGTGGGGAAGGGGGTGGGGGGGGGGGGCTGTATACGGGAAAAAATTCCGGGTCGCCCCCAAATCTACTCGGAGCCTCCGGGAACAGCCAAGCACCACTCGTACCCCCCAGGCCCAGGCTCGAAATCACTCGGATTTCGTCAGGGTCGCTCAGAAAATCGCCCTGCAAAAATCCGAGCCACGTGGAAAAACACCTTGTAATTTCAGTCAAGAACGAGCATTTACCCTGATAGCCTGAGCCCTGGTGTTGATATTGTGTTCATATTGTCGTAGAAGATGTTCGCTATAGTTCTTCAAACAAATTATGAGAATTATTGACTAATTTGCCCTTCCATTATAACATGGCACAAACAGAGATGGTAGAATTAGGCACAACCATTGGAATCCATCATATGAGAAGGGTTGAATTTGTGGATACACTTTCCAGCAGGGTGGTATCTGAAGGTACCCAGGCTAAAAGGGATGCAGATTCTGGGTTGTAACATGCCCATCGCATTTTGGCGTACTTGCTGCTTCACCGGATAAAGGTTTGTCGTTCACGCACGATCTGATGGCTGATGAGGGGCTGTAACATGTTTTTACGCTGTGAGGTTGTCCACATCAGCTGAAGGAGAGTGGTGGGGTTATAGTCTTCTCCCCAATGAAACAGGCTCGGCATGGCGGGCCCCTTGTGGTCCAGTGATTTTTTATCTACAGTCTCATTTTTGAAGGAATCCACTTTTTACAGTACAGAGTGTACAGTTCGCTACTGAACTGCAGCGAGGAAGGGTTGTGACGACAATTTCCATTTCTGTGTTCAGTTCATACAGTGTACAGTACGAGGGGGAGGGGGCAACAGAATGAGGCGGGGAGGGAGAGGATGGTGAGGGGTGAGGGCAAGGAAGCATTGTTGAGAGGAGGGAGGGGAGGAACCGACTGGAGGGAAGCAGAATCGTGTTTTGAAGAGGAGGGAGAGGGAGAGTCGAGTGTGAGTGAGGGAGAGCGAAGAGGGAACGGGGGGGGGAGGAGATATTATGAAAAAACGGGTGGCAGTGCTCGCTCTTCCAGTCACCAGCGCACAGTATTTTCTTCTCCTGCGCTTCGCCGATTAAGCCGGCTGATGGTGAACGGAGCTGAACAGCGGAGAACCATGCACCTCCAGGCGTCATCTAGTCTGCTTCTGTATAACCATCGAACCGTCACTTCAGATGACAACTCATTTCTGTTTTCCAACTTGAGTTCTTCCACCTTGAAGCGATGGCGGCGGCGAACTCGCTCCCCGCTTTTCTGCTTCTGCTCGTCCTCTCCTGCAGCGTCACATTCGCTTGTGCTCGCCGGCTACCCTCCGTGCAGAGTCAGCCGGAATCGGATTCTGCGGCTGCGAGTGTTCAAGCTGCTAGCGGAGTTGCGACCGCCGCCAATCGCGGCGGCAATGTCGCAGAATGCGTCGCCGTGGGGTTGAGCGAGCTCGCCAGCTTCCTTGGAGCGTCCAGTCGCCGCGTCTTCTCGACGCGAAGCGTTTTTATGGGACCGGGAACGGAAGAGCGGGTCTCCTTCTCGCCTCGAGAAAAGGGACAAGCCCTAAAAGACCTTAGCGGGTCAATCCCGAATCCTACATTCGCGGTCGAGTCGCTCACCTCGTATCGCCTTCTAAACAGCCTCTACAAGCCCGCGAATCACGCCCTGGTCGTTCTCGGCTCCGTCCACTCGGCCGCACCAGGCTCTGAATCCGGAGGTGACAATAATGAGGGGAAATTCCTCACATTCTGGGATCAAATCCAACCCTCCGACAGTGAATCCGACGACTGCTCCCAGTGGGGGGTCAGCTGGCTGATGTGGCAAAACCGCGGCGCCAAGGATCAACCCAAGAGGGTTCCGTTCACCGCTACGATTTCTGCGGATTCTTTCGTCTCTCCTGACGGCACGGCGGAGCTTTCGGAAGCAGCGCAAGCGGCGACTGACGTCCCGGACGTTCTAATGATGGACAAGGATTTCGGACAGCTGGACGCAGTCAAGGTGGCGCAGAGTCAGAACGAGGAGGCCAACATGCAGCCTGCAAGGGACTCCAGCGAGAACCAGGAGGCAAAGGAGGAGCCGCGGCAGGCGGACGTGCATTTCTACGTCCAGACAGCGTGGAGTGCGTTTCTGTCTGCTCTCGCGGCTGGTGACGTGGCATCGGCCTCGTCTGTCCTGTTCGGTCCTGAAGCCACGACGCTCATGGCTCCTGGTGCTGAAAGCGTGACTCTTGCAACTGAACAGGAGAAGACGAACCTGCTCAAAGTAAGGCTCCCCGACATTTGTCCTGCTCGTGTCGGGAACGAGTCGAAGTGGTATCACGCAGTGCGTCCCGCAGCATCCGAGTGCTTTTCCTCATTTTGTTCTCGTCTCTCTAATCATATTTCGCTGGTTCCTTTCTCTTTTTATTCTCGCTTTCCTCGCCCAGGAATTCAAGGCGTCACACCAATCGCTGTCCGTGATGGTGGATGAAGTAGAAGTGTTGCAAGAAGAAGGCTCTAAGTCGTTCGCCGCTCTTGCGCGATCGATGTACACCATTGCTGACGCCCAAGGTACTTGAATATGCGTTATTTGGAGCCAAAGCAATGGAAAAGGGTCCTTATGTAATTTCATCCTCGTTACCGGTACTTTCTCTTGTTCGCAACCTTCGCCATAACCTAGCTCCGTTGGTGCCTGTTGCCCCTTTTTGTACATCCAGGTGTGGAGGTTGAGCACGGAAAGAGGGTGGAGCTATGGCGTCCAAGTGGTACTAACGGGGGAGGGTGGCATCTTGTGTGGTCGATGTGGAACGACAATGGGCCAGTGCTTAGTAGGGAAGAGGCCATGGCTGCTTACCAGAACGACAAATTTGTCCATCAAGATGACCCAGTGACCTCGAATTCATAGGTACCAATCTGGTTCCAATTACGGTAGTTGATTGAGGCTATCCACCCCTTCTCCACACTTGATGTGTTTTTTGAAGTTCTGGATATCATTGCTATAGTTGTCAATGACAGGACCAGTGCTCCCCTCCATTTATGTCTAGATTGCAGCAAACTCGAAATATTGGGAGCAGAAGGCTTGTCATTGACTCGCAAATTTATCCTTTCTATTTATGAGTAGATAGCTAAGTCCGGAACACTGTTGTCACGACTCATAGCTAATCGAGAAATTTGACATTAACGAGTTTGGGGACTGTACAATTAGGGTAACCAGCCGCTGTGGCCCTCGCACTGGATGGCATGAGTGTCCACCGTGGCATTCGCGATAGAATCTTCAAAATTCCAGTTCAGTGAAGTGCTGTTTCATGGCTCATGTTTCGTTTCGCCCAGAATAATTGGCTCACAGCCTCACAACCCCACATTGCCATGGGATCTTTCGCTACTTCACCAGGCTGGGGCTGCGTGGCACAGGAATCCACACTTCGCCACCGGAGGATATGTCCAAGCCACTCCTCATGGATCGAGAAGAACGCTTGCGTGGCAAGTCTCTGCCACATATTTTGCCAACGTGGATAAACAAAAGTTCCTCCAACCATTTTCCCCAGCCCGAATCAGGGACAACCAGCGCCACCGCGGAACACCCTGCACACCCTGGCCCTGCTCCAGCTCGACTCGAACCATTTCCGCCACACCCCGCGCTCACCACCGCAACCACCCTGCCTGGGCGCAACCTTTCCGCCAACGCCAAAGGCGCGCCACGGGGGAATCCCTTTCTGGTGTTGAGCGCGCCAGCCAATCCATACCACGGCGCATGGCATTCCATCCAATCCATTCCCAAGGTGCTTCTACACCGGCTGACCAGTGACCATCCATGGCTGCCTCTTGAAAGGAGTCAGGGAATTCGTTGTCAGCCGTTCAATGCGAATTGAGGCAACCCGGGCTGCTTCTCAAAAGCGTCGCATTTCTCCCTATTGCACTAGACGCGCAGGGTAGCGAGCCTCGATTCACATTTACGAAATTCGTCTGCTAGTCTCTGTTGCCACCTGTGCCAAGTAGCCATGGCGACCGTCACCATCCCCGCCGCTAAGGCGTCGCTCGCGCCCGTCGCGCGCAGCGAGAACAAGTCGGCAGGCACCGCGAAGGTCGGGTTTGCTTCCTCTGGCCTTGCTGGAGCTCGCCTCACCACCACAGCGCCTCGTGCTTCCAAGAAGGCTACCACTAGCGCAAGACCCGCCGCTCCTCGCGCCGTGATTGACTCCAGCGGCGCCAAGGATGTCTGCATGGACCCTGACGTCAGCCAGGTCAGGCCAGAATAGTGACGTGTGAATCTGATCAAATCTAGGGCAATGGCGCCATCGTCTGTAGCTACGGACCGTGCTCGTGTCATTGCAGGGATGCGTCACGTTCCCAGCAGCTCCAAGGATGGTCCCTGCCTGTAGATTAGTCGAGCTTGACGGGTGTCTTTGCCTGACACGTGGCATGTATCGCTCCCGTGTCCCTGACATCACTCAGACGGTCAATTTGTAGAGGTCTACTTACGACATTCAGCGATGGTCGAAGTCCTACGTCCGTAACGCATCTGATACATTGCTACTTCACTTCTTCGTCGCATTTGCCTGTTCGCTAAAACGTTCGCTGTACCGCAAGTCTCTGGCGATCCTGTAGTTGCGGTAATAGAGGAAACTAGTTCGATCTTTCTCCTTACTGCTCCCGACATTGCTCTCTCCCTCTATCTTTACATAATGTCCCTGCTGTTTCCCCGGCGTGTCCCTCCGCCTATCAGAGCGTTCTCGGTATCATTCTCGGCGGTGGTGCCGGCACTCGTCTCTACCCGCTCACCAAGAAGCGCGCCAAGCCCGCCGTGCCTCTGGGCGCCAACTACCGCCTGATCGACATCCCCGTTAGTAACTGCATCAACAGCAACATTGTGAAGATCTACGTGATGACGCAGTTCAACTCGGCGTCGCTCAACAGGCATCTGTCGCGCGCGTACACGAGCAACATGGGTGGTTACAAGACGCAGGGTTTCGTCGAAGTGCTCGCAGCGCAGCAGAGCCCAGAGAATCCCAACTGGTTCCAGGTGAGCGAAACCCGAATCTAATCTCTTCAAATATCTACCGCGTGGCCGTTTTTCTCTCGGTCCGGATTCTTCGGCCAAATGTGATTCCAAATTCTCTCGGTCGGAGTTTGAGCTTTAAGCCCATGATTCCGACAAGCTTGGCGCGTTGTCAAGAGGGCTCCGTCCGTCTGACGTCTGACGTTCGTCAAACGGATGCGCGCGCACTGACAGTAGCTGGTGTTGTTGACGTTTGCGCCGTCTGCATAATGTCCTGGACTTGTGTAGATTTGCCGGTTCGGATGCGCTGGGCAAGGCAGCGGGTGCGGGCGCGTGCTATTGCGAGCCAATCAGGATCGCGCGATGCGGGGCCTCGAGTTGTCGTCGCCGCGTGATGTCGGCCTCGCACGCACTGGCTGCATTTCTCCAAAAAGCTCGGGGACTACCAGCATTTTTACCCATGAGCGGTCGACGACCGACCGACCACCGCATGGACTACCAGCGCTTCATCAAATGCCACTCGCAGCCACTCGTTCCTCTCCTTCCCATCCCTTGCGGAAGTACCCGTGGGAGCTCGACGGCCAGGATTACCGCACGGTCTATCATCGCACCAGCAGTTCACCAAGTGCTACGTCCCCTCTTCCCTCCCCCTCCACCTCTCTTTTCCCATCCCCCCCCCCCCCCCACCCGTCCCGTCGTCCTCCCGTGCTCCCGACGCAGGGCACGGCGGACGCGGTGCGGCAGTATCTGTGGCAGCTGGAGGAGCAGAACGTGCAGGAGTATCTGATCCTGGCGGGCGACCACCTGTACCGCATGGACTACCAGCGCTTCATCAAGTGCCACCGCGAGAACGACGCCGACATCACCATCGCCGCGCTGCCCATGGACGAGAAGCGAGCCGAGGCCTTCGGGCTCATGAAGATCGACGACACGGGGCGCATCGTCGAGTTCGCGGAGAAGCCCAAGGGGGAGGCTCTTAAGGCCATGCAGGTGCGTGATGTAATGCGGTGTGGCGCGGGGTAAATTGGTTACGTGAGTGGATAGCTCAAGGCCATGCAGGCCCCTTCGGACTCATGAAGATCGACGACACGGGGCGGATTGTCTAGGATTGTCGAGTTCGCGTAGAAACCCAAGGTGGAGGCCCTCAAGGCCATGCAGGTGCGTGGTATTGCGGAGCAGTGTGAATTGCTGAGAAGCAAGGCTGACGCGTCTTCCCGTTGACCATTTAGTACCCTGTTGTTCGCTCCTCCCTCTCCGTCCCCACCCCTTCCTCCTCCCCCGGACTTAACCTCCCCCCCTCCCTTCCCCACGTTCGGAACCCCGTTCCCTCCCCACCTCCCCCAACCCCCCGTGCCCCCACGTTTCCCTCGGTCGGCTCACCATGTGGACGCGACAGTGCAGGGCCTGGACCTGGACGCAGAGCGCGCCAAGGAGCTGTCGTGGCCGTTTCCCAATCGATGCGCATCTACTTCATCACCAATTCCGTCTGCCCGTTTCCCCTCGCATATCACTTTTTCCTTCCTCCCCTTCCCCCCCACACCGCACCGCAGGTGGACACCACCATCCTGGGGCTGGACGCGGAGCGCGCCAAGGAGCTGCCGTACATCGCGTCGATGGGCATCTACGTCATAAGCAAGGACGCCATGATCCGCATGCTCGCAGAGGATTTCCCTGATGCCAACGACTTCGGCTCGGAGGTCATCCCCGGGGCCTGCGCCAAGGGCGCCAAGGTGAGCGCTTCAAGGAATGGCATGGGGAGGCACGGTGAGGGAAGGAAGCAGCGCTCTAAGGCGGAGCTGAGAAAATGAGGGTGTTTAGGCGAGAAACGACAGGGGGGAGATGAATATCGAAGAGAGGGAGCGGGGGGAGTCGTAGCTTGTTGTGATAGAGAGTTAGAGATGGTGGGTCGTAGGGGCAGCATAGGAAAGGGAGATGGTGTCCAATGGCTCATTGTAGAGCATTGCATCGCCAATTCCAGTACCAACAATCCGTTCCTTTTCTCCTTCCCCATCCCCTTTATTTCCATATCTTGTTACCACGATCAGGTGCAAGCGTTCCTGTACGATGGGTACTGGGAAGACATCGGAACTATCGAGGCTTTTTACAATGCCAACCTCAGCACCACGCAGCCCGACTCGCCCTTCAGCTTCTACGACCGCTCTGCACCCATCTACACCCAGGCGCGCTACCTGCCGCCATCCAAGCTGCAGAGTGTGGATATCTCAGAGAGCGTCATTGGCGAGGGCTGCATCATTGAGGTGAGCGCTCTGTGATTCGCAGGACTGGTATTGTAAGAATGCACCCATTCGCACCCATCGACGCCTCATGTTGCTGTCCAAGCTGCAGAGTGTGATTGGCGAGGGATGCATCATTGAGGTGAGCGCGCTGTGATGGTGAGGCGATGGGAGTTGGCACTGCACCCTTCCACACCCAGTTGCACCGCATGCTGCTGTCCAAGCTGCTGAGCGTTGACATCTCAGAGAGCGTTATTGGCGATGGATGCATCACTGAGGTGAGCGCGCTGTGGCTTGGAGGATTGAATGGTGAAGGTTTTAGCTTCCACCTGCCTTGCAAAGTCATTCATCCGATGAGAGATGGTTTGCCTTCCTCAACCACCTCTGCTTGTCACCTCTCGTAACCCCATTCCGAGATCTCACCACCCTTCTGCTCTCCCATTTCCCCTGCATCCTTTGCTCGCTGCAGGACTCGCAACTACACCACTCGGTGATTGGCCTTCGCGCCAAGATCGGTGCCGGGTCCATTATCAAGGACACACTTGTCATGGGCGCTGATTACTACGAGGTGAGAGCTCTGTGGTGCTGGCCAGTCAGATAAAAACGAGTGTTAATCGCTGCTGGGTCCGTCACTGAGGACCGTTTTGAACGACGGTACGGTCGACGAATTAGAACTCTGGTAATGTACACTGATGAGTGGTGATCAGAGTGTTGTGGTGGTGTTGAGTGTTGCAAAGATCAAATGGGCCGCTGATCAAGCCACAGGCTTCCCCATAACCTCTCACAGTGCATCCACACCACCTGCTTTTCTCCCAACATAACCTCCCTTCCTCCCTCTACCATGCTCGTGGCATCTTGTTCCCCTGCACCAATCAGACGGAGGACCAACAGGACGCACTCCTAGCCACTGGCGGCGTGCCGATTGGCATTGGGAAGAACGTGGTGATTCAGAAGGCCATCATTGACAAGAATGCGCGCATCGGGGACAACGTGCAGATTATCAACAAGGATCAGGTGGAGGAGGCAGCCCGGGAGACGGACGGTTACTTCATTAAGAGCGGCATTGTTACAGTCATCAAGGATGCCGTGATTCCCCCTGGCACCGTTATCTAGAGGGTTGAGTTACGCTTAGGCTCATTTTTGTGAGATTTGTATTTTGGTATCGTCCCTTGTTTCACGGTGGGTTATTGCATGAAGATTTCACGTTAGCATTGAAAATTTGAGCAGCTTCAGTAAGCCAGATAAACCAAAGCCATCCCAAATTCTAACCCACCGCTACTACTCTCTGTAAAGCTTTTAGTAATTGCGTAATTTGAAAGAGCACTGACTGACAATGTTTCAGATGCATAAGGGAAATTGCCGCATGGGCTTCAAGTTACAAGTTAAGTTCCATAATGCACATGGGCTTCAAATTGATGTCGCAGCTCTTATTACGAGGGATACCTGGTTAATTTTCAGCTCCGAGATTCCCTTAGTAGTACGCAAGCGCCTCACCGAGGACAGGAAAAGCGCGACCAGAACAGCACAGCTGCATGGCAGAAAACCGTGTGATGGATGGAGTCCATCCGACGCTAGCTCCCTAGAAACCGCCTTGAATCGCAGGCGAAACGGTTCCCCCCGTCACCCAGCACCCCCTAGAGTTTGCCTGTTTCGTTCCTGCTGCCCGCGATGCGTACACGACACGAAACGAAAGCTGTCGGGCTGGGGGACACGAACTCTGGGCTTGCCTACAGGGGACGGCTCTTTTGAATGGCGGCGAGTTGCCCTCGCCACGCGAGATGCCCTGCCCTGGTGGAGCGGTGCGACGAGCTCGAGCTCCGCGGGGGAAGTCTCGAGCTGCGCGAGACAATTCTCGAGCTCTGCGGGGAGGAATTCTCGAGCCTCCGCCGGGAAATCCTCGAGTCCCCCGCGGGATTTCTGAGGTCTGTGGGAGGTTCTGCAAGCTCAGCGGTTCTTTCCGCCCGCAGGAACTCTCAGGCTAGATGCGACTCGTGCCGGGGCAATACTCGCAACCTCGGGCATTCCCAAGGTAGCCCCTTGAGGGCAGCCTGCTTGTACCTGCCTGGTTCACTTCGTCGTTGCCCGCGATTGGCTCCCCCTGCCTGCTCACGAGCCATATCAACTGTCGAGTAGATAACTCTTTTACCAGTGGTTATCACTTGCCAGAGGAATTGTGCATATCCCGTTACTTCAGTCGTAGAAAGACGACCTCTTCGCGCTGCAAGAAGTGTCCGTCACCCCGTCGCGTGACATTTAGCGGCCAGCCAGCATGGCGATTCCCTTCGAGAGGCCTTTTGTGTTTGCAGCGGCGTGCCTCGTACTGCTGCTCATTTCGGTCGGTAAGATCAACGGTCAGCCGGTCGCTTTGCCGGAGATCTCGTTGTACAATAACGTGGCGATGATGAGCGACCGATTTGAGCTGCACTGGAGCGTGAACGACACCGACGCGACGATTCGCATTGCCGTGAAGGCTCAGACCGCGGGATGGCTCGCTATAGGCCTCTCCGAAGTTGGCACGATGGTAGGATCTGGTGAGTATGAGACTGATTTTGAGGAAAAGGGGCTAACATTTTGCAGGAGCGTCAGTATTGATCGTAATTCCTGTTTTGAGTCAAATTCGACGACACTCTCTGCATAACTCATGATGTTGATGTGAAACCCGAATTTGTCATCCCAACCCCTCGGAATGTTGTTTTCCTGCTGTGCTCGGCGCGACAGACGCCCTCGTCGCATGGATCGCAGAGGAGCGTGTGTATGCGACGGACCGTTTCATCTTCAACAAGACGGTGGAAGGCGTCGCATTGGACGATCAGCAAGACTGGCGCGTGCTGGGCGGCAGCCAGACCACGGACCAATCCACAGGCGACACGTGGACCACCGTGCATGTGTGGCGCCAGCTGGATACCGGCGACTGCAACGACCGCCCCATCATCGCAGGGCGACTGCACAACGTCATCTGGGCGATGGGCGAAACCAGCGATTTTGGTTACCATGGGACGTCATCTCGTGGCTCCGTGGCGCTCGTGCTGGTACCCGCGCCAGGCACCTCCATTCTTGCGCCCCCGCCGCCCTCTTCCGTCTCCTCCGCGTCTGTGGAAGCGAGCAGTCAGTCCGCCGCGGATCTCGGGCAGGCGAACGGGCAGGTGAAGGAGCGGCAGTTGAATTGGACTCTGAGCAACTTTGCGGTGCCTGCCAGTAACGCCACGACTTATGTGTGCAAGGTGAGGTCATTGCGATATTGGAAGTTGGAACCGTTTTATAGGATTCTCAATAGTGAGGTCACTGCAGGGATCTGGGGGGATTGGAGGGATCTGCGGGGATAAGAGGAATCTGCAGGGATCTGGAGGGATTCGCAGTCTCCTTTCTTTTATAATCCACTCGCTCACGTGCTTCGCTGTCATCCCCTCCCCTCATTCCCCCCATGTCCCCGCTTTGTCCTTCTTCTCTATAGCCTCTCCCTCTCGTTCACCCCCTCTTATCCCCCTCTCGTTCCCCTCTCATTTCTCGTCTCCCCTTCCCTGTCGTCCCATGCACAGGTGTTTGTCCTGCCAGTCACCAGCAAGGTGCACATAGTGGAGCTACCTCTGAGTCCCCTCCATTCCCCTCTATTCCTTCCTTCCTCATTCCCTTTCCGCCCCTCCCGTTCCCAACTTCTTCCTCTCTCCCCTGTGAGCACAGGTGTTTGACGTGCCAGGCACCAGCAAGGTGCACATAGTGGAGTTCGGCGCTCTCCTCAACTCCACCTATACGTCCTCCGTGCACCATGGCGTCATCTACGGCTGCTCCCAGTAAGCCACGTGTTGAGCCGATTATTTTTTAGGCACCTAAAAAATGATCTACGGCTGCTCGCAGTAAGCCACGTGTTGAGCCGGTTATCGAGTTGACTTTGGTTGACTTTTGCAGTCACCTTCTCATGCCCCTTCCTCCTAACCTCCCCTCCCCTCCCTTCTCCCTTCTCCGTCCCCCCTTCCCCCTTCGCCCTTCCTCGCTCCCCCTCCCCCCTCCCTCCTGCCCAACACTCTCTTCCCCTAGGGAGGAATATCCCAATGTTGCTAACGCTACTGGGCCCTTTGACTGTATCAGCGACCTCCCCTGTCACACAACCGTCGCCATGTGGGCTATTGGCGGGCGCCCCTTCGTCTACCCCGATGGGGTCGGCTACCCTGTGGGTCGCGGTTACTTCACCAAATTCGTGCTGCAGGTACGTTGGATGTGGTGCAGAGCGGTTCAGTGCAATTCTGACGCATATGTGTTGACTCAGATGTTATGTGGGCCAGGCTTGCTTTAGCAAAATTGGGCTTGAGGTATGTGCAGTGCGGTTCAATGCAATTCAGTCATGCATGTAAGTCTGAATGTCTATAATCATGCATGTATACATACAGATGCATAATATCGGATTATATACATCCATTGTTGACAGCTCCGGCTTCTCCCCTTTGAGGCGCATCCCAACCCCACCTCCCACTCTCCTCAAAACCCCTCCTCCCCCCCCCCCCCCCCCACCGCCCCCCCTCACCCACTCGCCAGATGCACTTCAACAACCCTGACCTCCGCTCCAACATTGTCGACAGCTCTGGATTCTACCTCAAAATCGCCGACCCTCCTCGCGCCACCGACGCCGGCATCATGCTAACAGGCCCGATCGACTACACCTCGCTCATCCGCATTCCCCCCAGAATGCCCTCGTGGACTCAGATCAGCACCATATTGCCCCAGTGCATGCACATCAGCTGTTCTGAGGAATGCAAGCGGGGTGACGGTTATCGGTACGGGCATGCACATGCACTCGCTGGGCAGGCAGCTGTTTACTGATTTGTACCGGGAAGGGCGGAAGGTTGCTGAGATTGATCGCCTGGACTACTAGTGAGTGTGCTTGTGTAGCTTTGGTTGCTCACACGTACATGCTTCCTCACACGTGCTTACTTCCTCACACGTGCATGCCTCCTCACACATGCTTACTTCCGCACTTGCACAGCTCTGTGTGCGAGTGCTATTTTTGAGTATCTCAGCCGCCTTCCACTGTGGCTGTGGTTTTATCAACCCCCGCTTGCTACTGCAGCTGGCTCATGCCCCTCTCTTCTCTCCCCCTCTCGAATCCATGCCACAGCAATTCCAACTGGCAGCAGGTGCAGCCCATCTACCCGCACTTCCAGCTGCTTCCAGGGGACGAGCTCAGGACGACGTGCGTGTGGGACTCCTCCTCTCGCTCCCAGGTACCACCTTCAAGAAACCTCATGAGTTGGTGTCTGAGACGCCTCATTATTTGTCTTGTGTCTCTTGTCTCTTGTCTCGTGTCTCTTGTCTCTTGTCTTTTGTCTCTTGTCTCTTGTCTCGTGTCTCTTGTCTCGTGTCTCTTGTCTCTTGTCTCGTGTCTCTTGTCTCCTAGCTTTTTTAGGCGCCTTATGATGATGACCATGTGCCTGGGATGACTCCTTCTGATTCAATATATTGTGCACCCACCTTGATCATGCTTCCGCCCTTCTTCTTCCCTCAGCCTGCACTTTCTCTGCTGTTTTCTGCCTCACTCTCCCTCCCTGCAAGACTCTTTCTCGCTCACTCCACAAATTGATTTCTCCCTTTCCTTGGCGTGTCTGCATGTGTTGCTGTGCTCCAATGCACAGGTGACACCTGGCGGCCCAGCAACCAGCGATGAAATGTGTGTGGGTTACCTCATTTATTATCCAGCCAGGCCAGCCCAAGGTGAGCAGTGAAGAGAGCGGTGCGCAGGGATTAAAGGAATAGATGCAGGGATTAGTGAAGCCAGTGTTAGGAATCAGTGAAATGAATAGGTATGGGCTGAAAGGGTTGGGAGTTGAGATACGTAGAGTGAGGGATCGATTTTGACTTCTCCTCAACCCCCTTTTTGCCTGTTGTTTTCCCAATGCAGTGCTCGGTTCGTGCTTTGACTTCTGTGCGGCGTGGGACAGCGCCAACAATACATTTGATATGAACCCCAACAGTCCCAACCTCACCACATTCTACCTCTGTGGCGGCCTCGACAACCCCTACATTCCCACCACCAAGAAGTGCAGCATGAGTCATGGCGCCAACATGCCTTTCAAAGCCCTCACCGGCTGCCCTGCTAAGTGAGTCTCTTGAATAGCTGCCTGATGTCTGGCATGAGCTGTGATGCTAATGTCTCTGTGACCACTCTCTATATTGGCTGCCTTGCTCTGGGCCAATCCACCTTTTAAGCTGTCTCCGCCCCCATGCCACCCACACCACCAACACTGCACCACCTCCGAGCTATGCTGCTTTCTGCTCTCCCTCTCACCTGTTGGCTTTTCTACCTCCAATAAATCCTTCCCTCCGCCACGGAAATATCTCACCATTTGCAGGACTGCAGGCTCTTTGGCCTCCCTCTCAAGCAGCAACACTTCAGTCCCAGTGTCACCACCCACGAATGGCTCTGCTCCACCATCTCCCACTAGCCCTCCCAACAACTCAACTGGCAGCACCAACCCCACCAAGGCTGCTCCAGCCTTGTTTGCCAAGCTGTCAATGGGTCTCTTTACTGTCGCCTCCATTCTGGTTGTGTTCATGTAGCTGTTGGTCCAAGTGTCTGTGTCAGTGGCGGGGTAGATGCCTGATTCCAAGTGGTCATCGGTCACTGGCACCTATCTACAGTGGAAAACATCAGTGGCATTTCAGGCATTGGCAAACCTGCTCAGTAAAGCAGGTATCCATGATGTATAACCACAGCTGCTTATTGAATGTTGCCTCTCTGACATTATTGTGCACAATAGACAGTGAAGAGAGCTCTGAAATGCCAGCTGAATTTCGGTACCGTAGCTGAAATATTTGATTCCCTGTTGACTACCAAGAGCATGCAGTTATGTGCGCATGACAGAGATGTGACTGCCACACAATGATGGGTGGACTACCTCCTTGATATTTATACCGCATTCGTAGCTTACCCTTGCTAAGCCCAAAAAAGGGCATCACCGGATGTTCTACACAGCACCAAAGGGACGATGTGCTCACTTATGTTGGAAACATATCATTCACGCTTCTGGTATATCGAACGCTATAACAAGAACAGAGCAGGCCTACAGCGAGGTAACACCGAGTCAACCGAACTACAGCGAGGCGCTTGACAAAAGGCGACAACAGGAAGCAGTTGAATCGAAGGTCAAAGTGTTAAAGTAAGCTAGACTTAATTGCCATAGCTTGAGTAGCTTAGGAACTTAGGAAACGGGAGTTGCAAGAGAGAGTAGCAAGAAGAAGAGGCTTCTCACTAAGGCAGGGGTACAAGATATACCGTAAAGTGCCACCTATAGGACCCGCCGGTAAGAGGGTCCCCGGGACTCTTGAAGGAGTGGGGGGACTCTTATTGCGGCAGGTTTTGTGAGGACCCCCCCTTTGTCGCTAATCAATATAAGACCCCCCTTTTCTATATATTGTTGTTGTAATTGTTATTGTGAGTCATCTTTTATTGGCAAAAAATCGAATTCTGACAGGCCTTTTGTGTCAGACTCGAATTCTGACACATTGTTTATGTCAGACTCGAATTCTGACACAGATCTGACGCGCCGCTCGCGCGAAATCTGCGCAGTAAGGCTGTTTTTCGTTACAAATATAAGACCCCCCCGCCCCCAAATTAAGCCGTACACCCTAAAAAACATAATGATAGCTGATAAATAAGTGTACCCCGGGTCTTAAAAATTTGCAACCGCCATAATGTCCACCCTAGCATTTTTTTGAGCATTTGTAGAGAGTCCCCCGGGTCCTATAGGTGGCACCTTACAGTAGTTCAAGGGAAGGTGGAAAGGCGGGTACACCACCAACAATAGAGAATATACAGTGATACTACACTAGTTAAGTTACGTGCAATTATATATATAATCTAACATCCCCCCTTAACTGCATGCAGCGAAAGCTAGTATAGGGGCGTGACATCACCCAAGTGCAGACTTCACCGTGCCGCAGCTGGGCCCACCGATAGCACACATGATGGAATGCCCGCCTGCGGTTTAACCCCCGCAGTGGATGCCTGGTGTGCGCGACAAGGGGCGAACACCCCCAGAAATGACGGAAACTAACGGAATGATACGACACGACGAGAAACGACACATGAAACGAGAAACGAGAAATTGAAGCGACACGACGCGAGAAAACAGAATAGGAGAAGGGAACACACACACACTCTCTCACCACAAACTCACACTCTCTCCTCATTTTCCACCCCCTTCACCCTCCCCCCCCCCTCCTCTCCCCACTGCAGTAGGCAGGGAGAGAGGAAGAGAGAGGGGAGGGACGGGTTCCGGCTGCTCACACCCGCCACCCCCACATCTCCCCCTCCCCCCCCCCCCACGACAGAAGCCGCGGAAGGGAGGGCGGGGGAGGGGCGGCGTTAGCTGCTGCCGGCGCTAGCGCCGTCATTCGCGCTGGCGCAGGCGTTGGCGCTGGCGCTGGTCGCAGGTGCTGGCATTGGCTCTTCGTGCTGGCGCTGGCGCTTGCGCTCCGCGGTGGCGCTTGCACTGGCGACGGGCAAGGCGACGGGCGCGACGGGCGCGATGAGCGGGGGACGGGATGGGCAGAACGGGCAGAGCGCAGGGCGATGACGGGACGGGACGGGCCGGCGCTTCGGGCGCGACCGGCCAGATCATCGTGGCGCTCTCGAGGCGAGCTACGGGCTGCGCGATGGGGCGCGCCATGGCGCGTGGTGGGCCCATTTAAATAAACGGTCATGGGTCGGGACCCGCTCTGATATGTCAGAATCCCAGTCACTAACCACTGGGATAAAAGGGCTTGTTTGTGTAGCGGGTGAGTGCGCCCATAACCCCAGCCCGACGTGCCTGTAACCCTTCCCTAGGATCAATCGGGGATCTCCAGTGGACCTCTGACATGATAGCATGTCAGAGTACTTAGAGTAAACTAGACTTAGTAGCCATAGCTTGAGTAGCTTAGGAACTTAGGGAACGGGAGTTGCAAGAGAGAGTAGCAAGAAGAAGAAGAGGGTTCTCACTAAGGCAGGGGTACAAGATATAGTTCAAGGGAAGGTGGGAAGGGGGGTACACCACCAACGATAGAGAATCTACAGTGATAGTACACTAGTTAAGTTACATGCAATTATATATATAATGTAACACAAAGGTCATCGACCTTTGACTCGGCGAAACAGCACGACAGCAAGGAGGAATAACTGACTCGTTATTGAGCAGTTACCCGAGTCGTCGCTGGATCAGACCGCGCTAGCGGTTACAGTTACAGTTAGATACAAAGCGGTTAAGTATCCAATATTCATGTAATCATATATAAACTCAGTATCCCCGCATTATTATTAACTCATCTTGTTCTCACATACTAGCACAAGGTGGTTTGATCAGTCATTATTAAACGCTTCCGCTAATACATCACTACCCTGAGCCTCAGTCATTGAAAAGATCCTAAGGGCTTGTTCAGCCCAATATGGTATGAGAGAAGTCAAGATGAGGCTCAACTACCTTCAGTTTCTTTTACTCGTACAACAAAAGACATGGCAACACAGAAGGATGCCCTTCCATGAGAGATGTGGCAGGGCTCTTGTTTTATCAAGATGGATGCCCTTCCATCAGAGATGCGGCAGGGCTCTTGTTCGAACAAGATGGATGCCCTTCCATCAGAGATCTGGTAGGGCTCTTTTTCGATGGGTAAAATACCATTATAGCCCTTGCTGTACGTCACTGTTTGCAGTTGTCCCATGTCTCAACCATATGAACCAAATGCAGCGTTTCGATCTCTTCTTTCATTATTATTATTTTTCTCTCTTTTTTTCTCTCTCTCTCTCTCTGGGAAAGAAGACGAAGAAGGGGGGAAGGGGGGGAGGGGGCGGGGTGGGGGAGGGGGATTTGTGTTGGCAATTTCCTATCCTAGCTGGAAAAGGTGTTAATGGAACGCCCTGAAATACCCTTCACCCTCCTCCCATCCTCCCATCCTCCCATCACCCCATCCCCCCATATACCCATCATCCCATCCCATCATCCATTCATCCCTTCCTCCCATCCTCCCATCATCCCATCTTCCCATCTTCCCATCCTCCCATCTTCCCATCCTCCCATCCTCCCATCATCCCATCTTCCAATCCTCCCATCCTCCCATCATCCCATCCTCCCATCCTCTCATCATCCCACCTGTCAAAATATTTATTTCTATATAACTGCCTGTGGCATAGCTAGTGTAGCTTCATGTTACAAGTTTTCTGTGGTTCACCTTTCCTTGCCAATATTTCTTCTCTCCTCTTCATAGTGAAAACATCTTTCTCCTTTCCTTGTTCCTAAGTTTCTAAACCTCCAAATGGTACTTTGACACCATCATCCCATCCTCCCGTCCTCCCATCATCCCATCCTCCCATCATCCCATCCTCCCATCATCCCATCCTCCCATCCTCTCATGCTCCCGTCATCCCATCATCCATTCATCCCTCACTCCCATCCTCCCATCCGCCTTTCCTTCATCTCAACACCCCATCAATCATCCCACGGTCCATTCATCACTTCATCCGATCCTCCATTCCACTCTTTCTCCCCTCTGTTCATCCTCTCATTGTCCCTTCCTCTCATCACCCATCTTCCCTTTCTCCCACACTCCCATTTTCCCTTCATCCCATCTTCCCAACCACCCTTCCTTCCTTGCTCTACTTCTCCATTTCACACACACAGACTCTCTCCCATTCATTTGTCCTTCCATAATCCATTTCTCCCCTTTTCCTTGTTGAAGTAGGTAGAGGATCCTAGGCTTAGGAGAAACCCTAGCCTAGGAGAATGTCGAGAGGAACGAAGGTGAGTTGGCCAAAAGGGGGTGTTCACTATAGTGTGAGCAATACAAATAGGCAGGAATCAAGAAAGGTGCACCACCAAACAGAAAGTGATATGACTACAGTATTCTACACTACAGGCAGTTATAGAACAATATATAAAACTAAATATTATTCTGACACGCCCCCATAAGTGCCTGTAGGGAAGAATATGCAATCAACGCCCCCATAATGGGGTACACCAGACAGAGTGCAGCGGAAGAAACAGTGGCAGGCAAAAGCAGTGATAGCCGGTGCAGAAGTGGCAGATCCAGTTGTACCAAACCCTCCGCCAAGGCAGAAACAAAAGCAGGTGTAGGAGCGGCAGGTCGCCTGAGGAGCAGGCTCTGTGGCTGCAACGTGCAGCAGGACAGCAGCGGCTCGACGGCAGCACCTGCAGGCCCCAACAGCAGGCAACAGAAGCAAAGGCAGCAAAGGAAGGTGGCGGCAGGGGCGGCAGCTGGAGGTGCCACATCAGCAGCGAGCGACAGCAGCAGATGACCGGCTGACTTCCGTCGCCCCCTCACTCTCCCCCCCACAGCGGCACGTGCGGCAGTGAGAGAGAGAGGAGGGGCAGCAGCTTCTTGCTCACACCCACCACCCCAAACCCTCCCCCCCCCACTGCTGCACGCGCAGCAGGGAGAGAGAAGGGACGGCGTGTGGCAGGTTAGCGGTGTGGCGCAGCAGCGAACAGAGAGGCGTCAACCACCCTCGCGCCTCCCCCCCCCCCCCCCCCCCCCCCCACGACGAGAGTCGCGGAAGGGAGGGGAGG